TCTTAAATAAGTCAAGTAGTTGGCTCAACATCACATTATTAGGAGGGAGTAATGGCAGATCAGGCTGGTTGTGGGGTCCCATATGCCCAGTACTGAACTGTACAGTTTGGAAAAAAAGGGTATTACTGAATGATTAAGAAAACATCCAATGAGGGTTTGGGCTGTAGCTCAGTGGTAAGCACTTGAGTGAGGTCCTTGCATCAATACCCAATACTGCCAGAAAAAAAAAAAATCCAATGAACATTTTTAAATTCAAAAACTTTAGGGGGAATGACATATCACAAGAACACATATGTACACACATCCTTTGGCTTTAAATTGTAATTTACTAGCTTTTAGTCATGAAACATAGGCAAGTTGCTTACCCATTATTCTAAGATGAATTTTTGAAATTATAAAATGTATAATATCCAAGACATATAGTATATTATCCAGGATTTATTCAAATATCTGGTACCTAACAAGTAAATTTAACTTGGGAATGTACTAGCACTTCAGGAACTTTGGGCTAACTACCATGATTAGCAGGGTGGTAAAACAAAGAAGCAAGAGAAAATATATTGTTTTGAGTGATATCTTTAAAAGTCTTGGTCCTTGTACACACCAAACTAGGTTAACATTACAAAACAAAAAGGGTAAACTTTAAGAATAAAGTTCTGAAACACTGTTAAGAGTTTACATTGCAAAACATTTCAATATCAGAATTTTGTATTCTGCATACATCAATATCAAGCAAGACTAAAAAATTAAATTTTACCTTTGAATTACAAATAATGTTCATGATTCATTGCTAACCAGATGTTTCCTGTAGCTTAGAGATCCTGAAGAAACACAGTAAGTACACCATCCCTAATAACAAGACTTTATTTAATCAACATACTTCCTTAGATTTAAAAAATTTTGTCAGGGCTAGAGACATGGCTCAGTAGAGCACTTGTTCTTCCAGAGGACTTGAATTCAATTCCCAGCAACCCCAGTTGTGTGGGTGCCTCACAACTGCTTGTAATTCCTGCTCCTGGGAGAGCCCATGCCTCCGGCCTCCAAGAGCACCTGTATTCATGTGCACCCCACCTCCAAACACACACAGATATACACATAATTAAAATTAAAATCTAAAAAAGTAGAATCTCTGAATAAGCATATTTAAAATGGTATTAGACATAAGATGCAGTATGAGTGATTTCAAAGAACTCAAATGAAACTGAATAAGCATATTTAAAATGGTATGAGACATAAGATGCAGTATGAGTGATTTCAAAGAACTCAAACGATTAAACTCAAATGAAAATATTCCTAAGGTTGCTTCATTGATTTGAAACTGTTTTATTCAGAACTCAGATTAGCAACAGCAGCAGCAGCTGCTGTTCAACAGAATACTCTCCTTTTCCACCTACTCTCCAACTGAAGGTTAAGAGAAGCAGAGAGACTGCAATGACCTAGGTCAAAGAATGTTTTGATAGGATTTGTAGGTTTTTGCTTAAGTTAACTTTAAAACAAACAAAAACCCCTTATTTGTGTGCTGGCACAAATGCCTTGACATGCCTGTGGGTCAGTCACTTGTGGGAGTTGATTCTCTCCTTCCACCATGTGGGTTCCAGGGATAGAACTCAGATCACCAGGCTTGGTGGTGGGAAGTGCCTTGAGCCACTAAACCATCTTGTCCTTCAACGCAATTTCTTATGTAGTCTTACATTTAGGTATAATCAGCGAACACAGTGGTTGAATCAGTCATAGATTTAAGAAGACTTTATAGACTTACATAATCAATCTCAATTTGATATATCACATACTAAAGTTCTAAAATATTGCTTATTTAGATTTTGAAATTTAGACTTCTTACAGAAAATTGCTTGACTTTTCTGTCCTCACTGAATTGTATAAGCAGGCATCTCTGTACTTTGTTTTGACATTACTACCCAGAGATTTGCTACTTTATCACATTAGCTCAATAAAGGGGACCTCTGTTGGGGACACTAGTTTGAGTTCTCTCTTTTACCCTTTTTACACTTAAAGGGCTGACTCAACTCTTTTTTTTTTCAAGGAGTTACCCAGTTTTCATCATTAAGATAGGTGTTAAGAACACAAGGGGAAGTCAAGAGTACTCTTCTTCTCTCAAGGATCTTAGAGGGAGAAAGTCAAAAGTCACATATCAACAGTGTGTGTCAAGTGGTAGGATGGAAAGAAATACTGTAGAGGCAAAAGCAGTAAGGCTTGAGTAGGTCAGAGAGGCTTTTCAGAGAGCTGCCCAAACTTGTCTCAAAGGTAGAAGAAATTGCATGCAAAAGGGTTTCAAATGACCGGCAAATACGTAAGTACAGCTGAAGCAATGGTTTAAAGTTGGGTATGGGGAGACAGGCCTGAAAGGAAGGTAGGGGCTGGATCTAATCTGTCTATTCTCAAGAGTTTAGTCTTTATTCAAAAACCCATAGTGAATCACTGGTGTTATGAAAAGAGCAATGTAATCATTAATTTTTTCTGTGATCAGGACATTCAACAGCTAAATATGGTAAGATAGACTAGTAGTTTTCTGAGTGCTGAGGATAAAATAAGGAATGAGATATTATGCCCTTGTTAAATTTAGTCTAGTTCAGAAAGAGGAGCAAATACTTTTTGGTGGATACTCACAGAAGTGTTGGATTGCTTTATGAAAGAGCCTGCAATTTTAGAAGTCTGATTTCCTCTTGAACCAAGGGCAGGGATAGGAATTATCTTTTATTGTTTCAAAAGACCTGGACAGTTCTGTGTAAATCGTGGACACTCCAAGTTTGTGCAAGGCATTAATACCTATGCTTATACAATGATGTTGCTCTTTTAACACTTGAAATGAGAAAATGTTAGACTAAAATAGTCTAAAAAACTTACTGAGCACTTAGACACTAAGTTGTTTTTCCTCGAAAAATCAACTAAAATTTTTTTTGAAGAAAAATATGAGTCTAAAATGGAAGAAAAATACTTTTCTTCAAAAGTGGTATGTGTGGGGCTGGAGAGGTGGCTCAGAAATTAAAATCATTTGCTGCTTTTTGCAGAGGATCTCAGTTCAATTTCCAGAATCTATGTCCGGTGAGTCACAACTAGTTAGTTGTAACTTAGCTCCACGGGACCTGATACCTCTACCCTCTGAAGGCACCAGTACTGAAGGGCACTCTAATACCCAGACATGCATAAAAATAATTAAAAAAAAAAAAACAAATCTCTGGAAAAAATGATACATGTGCATGTTGTCAGGAATCATTCATGGTGATAATTTTTATGGTAAACATTACTTTTCCCACCCAACCCCCATTTAAAATACAGTCTCTTTTTGTACCCTGGCCTTGCATGGCCATCCAGATTCTCCTGCCTCAGCCTCCCGAGTGCTGGAATTACAGCAAGTGCCTTCATGTCTAGCACAAATAAGTATTTTTAAATTTGAAAAATGATAAACCAAATTGCACACGAGTTCCTGAACGCAAGCTGAATATTAGGGGCACATATATGAATACATATTTAATATTAATGAACTAAAAGATAGTTTCTTGATTCCTGGAAGACACTGGGATTCTCCTTGATCTTCACAAAGAACTGAATTGAAATTTTGACATCTATTTCCCTTAAACTTTTATGTTTTGTACGCTGAGATTCTGGCAACATTCTGATATTTAACCCTATTATAAAATTACTTTTCATACCAGACAACTTCTACTTAAAAGGGAGTGGCATAAAGTATCTTCACACGCTACTGTAATAATGTGCGTCAGTTTTTTTCTAATTTTCAGCAGTCTATTTTAATAATTTACAAAGACAAATCTTTAAAAGACTACTGATCTAACTGGCCCTTTCCATAAAATATAAAGGTATAAAGTTTCCAAATGAGTATCTGTCATGGATGGGGAAATACAAAACAAGCCAGGTATTTTTAAAGTATCTTATAATCTGACATGACAACACTGTCATTTATTATCTGTCGTCCTAGTATAGCTAAAATTCCTCTTTAAAAAAAGTTTCAAAATAGCTGATTATAGTGAAGGGGTTGAGACACACACAACACATACGGTATACTGCTGTAAAGCGAAAAGAAAAAGGCCTTGCCATGTATGACTGTTAGTTTTAATATTAGATTACTGGGGCTTCACATTGTATCTTAAGGGCTTATCTTCAGTGTGCTCCAGAAAGTAACGCATTGACAGGGAGTCGTTATAACTTAGTAGTGTCAAAAACATTAAAAAAAACCCCCAAAAACCAAAACCCTTGTAAACACACCGCTCATTTGAGTACTTAATATGAAGACACATGGCTTTAATTGGGTTCAGCTGTTATGGAGAACAAAATTAGCCTCCATCCACGTGGGGTCAAGCAGGTGGTCACTTCTCTTAGTCGACAACCAACTGAAAGCCAACATTGCAGGAGGTGGGCTTTTACCTTCCAGTCTGGTAAACCAGTGACACATCCTGTAATGGCACGAGGCCTGAGCTGATGACCTTGTCTCCTGAAAGCTTACCGACTCTCGGCAACCCCTGCAATGTTTAGGAGGGCATCTGGGGTCAAAGTGGGTGGATGCCGGCCCTAACCACTGCACGCTTCTACCCTACCTTGGACCGCGAGGTGGCCACACCGCCTGATTTTCGGAGATGATTCATCTAGGCAGTGGACCCCAAGGCGGTAATCCAGTAGGGCGTGGGGGTGGGGGTGACCTCCCTCCTCCCAGCGCGGCCCCAGTACTCCAAAGCGTGCCCGTTTCCTAGCCAAGGAAACGGAGTAGGGGGTAAAATCACCCATCCTTCTCCGGCCTAGTCTCAAAATGGCGACCGAACCTGACCGGGCTCCCCGGAGCCCCCGGCTATCTCCCCTTCCCACTGGCCCCCGCGCCGCTGGCAACCGCGAACGGCAGGCGGGCCAGTCCGTGAGCGGGGTGGGGCGGAACGCGTCGCTCTCCTGCGCACGCGCGGCCCCGCCCCGCGTCTCGCGTCAGAGCCTAGAGGGCTCGCCCGGCTGGGCGGCGCGCGCTGCCTGCCGGGATACTCGGCCGGCCCAGCCAGTCATCCAGTCTTGCGCCACGGTCGCGAGATTCGTGTTTCTCTCAAGATGGTGGCGCTCGGCTCCGGGTGACTACAGGAGACGACAGGCCCTTTTCGCCTTCGCCTGAACCTCGCCGCAGTGCCTGCGCTCGCTCGCTCACGCACCCTGCCGCGCAGCCGTCCGCCGCCGCCTCACACGTCCCTTCTGCCGACTTGGTCGCGGGCGGTGGCGCCTCCCTCCGCTCCTCCTTGGAGAAGCTCGCGGCCCTCGCCCCCTGCTGTGGATACTCCGCGGCAGCCGCTCATCCGCGCCGACTCTAAGGCTGCCAAGGCGCCCGGCTTCCCGGCCTCGGTTTCCAGAGGAGGAAGCGCGGGTCCCGCATGAGCCCCGGCGGTGGCGCCAGCGAAAGGGAACGAGGCGGTGGCGGGCGGAGGCGGCGGACGAGGGCGACAACGACCGGAGAGGCGGCCGCACCTGCGAGGGCCGCAGCCCAGGCACGGGGGCGACGACAGGTCAGTGCTGCTGTTGCCGCGGCCCCCTTCCTTGCGCGCTCCCTCTGGTCCGTTCGGCCGTCGCCCCCGCCTCCCTTCGGGCCGCACAGTTAGGGAGGCGCTCGGCCCTCAGCTGCCTCTGGAGCGAGTGGTTGGAGGCGCGTGGTCTGGGGGAGCGGGTGCCAGGAGTAGGCCCCTGGTGGCTACGGCTGCTGCAGCCGTAACTGTCAGTCCTGGCTGAGCGCTGGAGGGAGGGTTTTGTCGCCCGAGGGGACCCGAGCGGGCCCGGGGCGGGGCTGACTTGTTGGGCGTTGGGATTTGGGCAGCTCGGGTGCTGGGATTGTCAAGCCAGCCGCGGCCCCTGGCTGGGAAGGGCAGGCCTGTTCCTTCAAAGGGGAGCTCTTGGGAAGACATATTTAGATGTGTGCTTATTGGGTTGGGGTTTGGGGGGTGGATTGATGGAAAGGAAAGGCGGATGGAGTGGCATATCAAGCTCAAGGATTGCGCTCTCAGATTATTCATGTGTTGCTGCTGGTTGGATTCTGTAGTTGAGCGTGAGTTACAGGATTCATCCGAGACTGCTGTGTTAAATTTAAATGCAAACCTGTAAACAGTTGACCTCCTCCCCCCCTCCCGCTTTTCAGTTGAGAAAATGAAAAAGACGTTTTCCTCATCTTAATGTGGAAGCTTTCTTTTGGAAAAGTCGGAATTGAATGTACCAAATGCTTTCGTCTTTAAAATATAAAATATGATTTTAAGACTTTAATTCATCTTAGAATACTCAAAAGGTAATTTTGTATCACAATTTTTGTGGCTTTTTAAAGTATGCTAAAATGGAAACAGTGCAAAATCTCTGGGACTATATTAAGTGGTTAGTGTGCTGCTGCAAATGTAAACTAAACAGTATTTGAGATTTACCATCCAAGATTATCTTCAGTCGTGAAGGAGAATGGATATAACCCATGATTTTGGGAGAAGCAGCAGATTATTTCAGAATGTTTTGCAGAGGGAAGTACGTTTGAAATAAAGATGACCCAAACTTTAAGACATTCAGCTGTTCAAAAGCTACGTGTCAGAGAAATGTTAATACCCAGTAAATATTGTTGAATTAATTGGACAAGTGAGATGAAAAGTCTTTCTTCGAACCTCATATTAGTAAGTACTCTTAAAAGACCATTTAGTAAATCCTGTAAAATTTAGAATCTAAGAGAGATAAAAATAAAATGTCTTGATATGTATGATAGAAATTGCTTTGGAATTAGCTTGTCCATTTAAACTCAGTCTACTTATCACATTTTTAATGAACCGAGTACGAAATTGCTACTGCTGGTAAGCCTTCAAGATTACCGTAAATCCTTAAATACTAATAAGCACAGGAAAAAGCCCACAAACCAAAACCCATTAACAAAAAACAAGAGTGTCAATAAATACTTTACAACATTTAAAGATTTTAAGAAATACAGAACATAACACAAAGAAATCACTTGTAGCCTTTATTCACAAAATTAGAATGAATGTAAGCTATGAAAGATTTGCCCTGTCAATATTTAACTTGGCATTGGTGTGCTAAGTAGTAGTATACCCACTAGCCTCTGGACATTGCCCCTGTAGCTGAGGAGTTTAACGTCATGTAGCTAAAAATACTGTTTTTCTTTTATAGATTTTGTAGGTGGCTTTGTTTCATCTCGTCTGTTAGCCACCATGTGGGTGCTGGGAACTGAACCCAGGTCCTCTGCAAGAGCAGCCAGAATGCTTAACTGCTGAGCCATCCCCCCCCCCCCCCCCCCTTTTTTTTTTTAAAGACGGGGTCTCACTATGTAGCCCTGACTGGCCTGGAACTCTCACAGATCCACCTGCCTCTCTGTGCCCCTAGCACCAATATTAAAGGTGTGAGTCACCATGCCTGGCCACGCCCCCTTTTTGTGGCTTCAAATGTAGCTTTCTAAGTAATGGTATTTAATAGTCAGAAATGTGAGGGGGGAAAAAACAACCTCACCTCACTTGTCCAATCCATTTAAAAGAATTCATTATTCATTGGATGTCTCTGACATAAAACATTTAATCAACTGTATTTATTAAACACGTATCTTCTCTCTTCTCTGTAAAATATTTTTTTATATTAATTGTTTCAATACTAGTGGCATAACCCAAAACTGGGCGGTATCTGAATTTTTCTCCTCAGACCTTAAAATGTTTGCAGTTTTCTGTTTTTCTTAAGTGACTATGGGTATATTCTTCAGTCATGTACTTTTAAAATTTAGACCTTGTTTATATTAATATTGATAACATACTATCAATGGATTTACACTTACACTGTGTATTTGCAGTTATTAAAACTATTAGTGTTCTCATTTTTTAGAGTGGAGATGAATTTTTAGAAGTGATCTTTCAAGTACTTTCATCTAAATATTTCATGCTTTATTTAGCTATCTTAAGAAAAAAAGTATCAGGTATCCTCTTCATAAGAAATCAGGATAATGGCATTTTGGATGGTTTTGACAGTTTCACCCCTTACATAAAGTATAAAGATAATATCAAGATTGCCATGGAGTCTCACCTGTAAGCCCAACAATTGAGAGGCTTTGGCAGGATTGTGGCAACGTTAAAGGCCAGCCTGGGCTAAGAAGTGAGAACTTGTCTCAAAAAAACCCCCAAAAAAGTTAGAGATGTCATCCTATATGTGGAAATAGCTTTGCTATTGAACTATGATTTTGTTGTCTGTAAACAGAATGATGAAGCTACCCCAGATTTATGAAGATTTACAGTATGTAAAATGCCTGCTGTTTTTCTGAGTGATCTTACAGTATCTTGTATATGGTGAATTGTAGCTTTTTCTTTTATGCTTTCTATTTTTCTTTCTCACTGTCTTAAACTGAACTCAGTAATAAAGTGCAAGGACTTCTGTTCTTTAATCAGAAAGTATCTTCCTGATGCCTCAAGTCTGTTTAGGTTGCTATTTATAAAATATCAAAGAATGGGTAGCTTACAGAAAGGAAAAAAAAAATCCAAAATTGAAATTTACTCGCAGTTATGGAGGCTGAAAAGTCCCATAATAAAAATTTGTGGACTGTTTAGTGAGGGCTACTTTTATAGTAACCTATTTAAGACAGCTATCTTTTTATTGTAACCTTAAATAATGTTAGAAATATTTCTGTTTGTTTAAGCATACTAGGGATTAAACCTAGGGCCTCTTACATGTGAGGCAAGTGCTCTACCACTTCCTAGCACTCTTTGTATTCTTATTTTGACACAGGTGCCATTAAGTTGGCCAGGCTGGCCTTGAGATTGCAGGTCAGCACCACTAAGTTTGACTCTTTGGAAACATCCCCACCCCTGCGCCCATTTTGAAACGGTCTTCCTGTAGCCACAGCTGACCTGAAACTCTTGAATTTGCTTTGTAGACCAGGCTGGCCTCGATTTCACAGAGATCCGCCTGCCTGCCTCCCAAGGGCTGAGATTAAAGGTGTGCACCACCACACCAGGCTCTGTCTTTTGTATTTTTGGTGACAGGATTCAGGCTAGTTTGGAACTAGCTATGGACACCAAGTTGACCTCCAATTCCCAGATACCCAGCTCCCACCGCCTCTTACGTGCTGGGGTTAAGGTGTGGGGTCTCTTTTAATGAGGGCACTAATCTCATTCATGAGGGAAGATTCTCTACAAAAGCACCAACTTCTAATTTCATCACCTCAGAATTTAGACTTTTCGTAGAAATTTTAGGGGGATACAGACATTCAGACTATAACATGGAGTATGCCTGAATTGGTTACCAGTGTATTCATAAATTGCTAAAATTTTGAGGCTCCTTTGAATACTATGAGCTGAGCTTGGTTATTCAGCTTACAAAAGTCAAGAACATTTGGAAACTGGTAAGTCTAGTCATTTATTGTACATAACACCATTTTTTTTTCCTTAGTGACACCCTGTCATAATACTTAGTTCTTTCTGCCCTCTTCAGTCTGAGGCCAGTTAACTGAACTGTAAAGAATACTGTTTGTACCTTTTTGTTGTTGTTACAGCCCTTTCATATGTATCTTTGTCTGGGTTCCAGCCCGCCATTACCATTCAGTATCTG